CTGATGCTGTCTGCGCTGCTGCGTGAGATTATGCCAGAAATGACTCGTCTGGCTTTCCTTGAGGCGCCAGTGAGTGTAGGGCCACAACAGTCACTGGTGTGGAATACTTTTTACTCCTCGCGAAGACCCGAGGCGACGGCGTGGTATCCTCAGTACCATATACATGCTGCTTCTTCACGCTTTCGTTTCCAGGGAAGGAAAACAGGCTCCTGCTTCTGAAGAATTCAGATTTCTTCATGATGGAGGAGGAACATTTTGTTGATGCCGGAGCTTCAAAGACCATGCCAGCAGCGGCCAGGCTCGCTTCAGACGGGGGTTGCTTGGAATGCGCGAGTTGGTGGCGGCGGCGGCGGAACGCGCAGGCGGCGGGTTTGTCCCCGCGGGGAGGCGAGGGCAGCAATAGCCGTCCCCCGCACGCGTGAGAGTCGGCGGAAAGCGCACGGCGGTGGGTAACTGTTGGCGCGTCCCCGCGTCGACGGGAGGCGGAACTTCCGCCGCGAGGAGCGGACGCGGCGGGGGTGGCGCGGGGAGGTTGCGCGGTGGAGCTGCCTGAGAGCACCGGCAGACGATTCAGCGCAAACGATGCGGACGTGTCCATCCAATCGTCAAACTCCCATTCCTGCTGCTGCTCTTCTATCCAGTGTGGCGGATAGAAATCGCGAAGCTCCATGACTGAATGCATCGTGGTGGTTCGCGGAGTTGTAGGGGAGTAACGCTGGGAGCGGCTGGCCCTTACGTGATGGCACATCCCGTCACCAACTAGGAGGTAATATCGCTAAACCTAAAACGCAAAAGCAGTAGAATCTGGTCACTGGGTGAGATGCAGCGCACTGGCGAGACGCATCACTTTTGAGATCTCGTGACGAGATGGATGAATGAGAAAGCAGCGATATTCACGCATTGTAATATACAAAAACGATGCACTGCGAAGGCCCCAAGTGAGAATTTCCCTCGCTTCATCCCTGGCCCCTGTCCTCCAGCGATGCGCGCGAACTCGCCAAACGAGAGGGATAGCATGATCTGAACTGAATGCGGCAGAGACGAGTTCGACCCGATGGGCCGGACAAGACGCGATACGCCGCCACTATCACAGCGGAGGACCTCAGGCCGAGTTCGATAAATTTATTTGCTTACTTCACGGAACCTCTGCAGTGTGCGATTGCTAGTGGACGACAGGGGACCTGCCAGCATCATCGCCTTCCACGTCGGATCGATATTGTATGATAGTACACACTGTGCGATTCTGAGCGTTGGAACGAAAATTTACGATTGCAAGATGGGCGAAAATCTACGGCAAAGTACCGTTCACCTAGTAGGATATTCTATGATGGTACTACACTGCTTCATTTACATAAACATCCATGGTGCTGAGCATGAAACGCGAGAAATAATCACGTGAAAGAAATGGCCACGGTGAGAACGACTCTGAGGCACGGCATAACGCGGCTCGAGGTGCTAGATTAGCAGCCAAGAAATGCTGCAGGGACGTGCTGTTCAACATGGCCTAGAACTTGACATGACAGTGGATTACTATCTCCACTCGAGACCCTGATTCGATTGGTGGATAGCAATACGTCACAAGGCAAGAGACGAGAGGATGAAGTACATGTCTTGGAAATTTGAAGTGAGCGGAACCACATGACTACTCACTGCACCGTTTGAGAGATTGCACTGACAACACTGCATCTCATTCGATACTGATATGCCACGTGGAAGGCAGCTCTGAGGAAGCTGAGATAGCCAGCCAAGGCAATCGCCTGGTGGGGTTGTGCAGTGAGCGAGAATCAGGGTGCAATCATGCTTGGTTGGCAAAGGCAGATTAGCTTGGCGAGGGCCTGATTATGGTTACTCTATATTCAACCTTTTCGCCGGAGAATTGGGTCTCATGGCGGGAAAAAACATTGGGAAGATGTGGGTTCGCTATTAGAGGAACCGAGTAAATGAAGTGTAACTTTTTTTGTTTCCTGGAAAATTGTCTTGCACACAGATTTGCACAAACAGAATCAACCGGACATAATAAAACAGCATTCTGTATTTTTACATGAGGACCAGAGGAAATGACATCAAAATAAAACTTGGTTGCATATAAGGCCCAAACGAGGTGAACTAGGACTCAGGTCGGGTTCTTCTAGGTCGCACAATCCATAACTTGATTTATAGTGAGATGATGGGCTAGATTAACTGGCTACACTATCAACATGGTGTACACATTCAGGTTGTCTTTCTACTTTAGGGGTCCACAGATGGATATGTGGCTCTCGAAGTCATCCAACCAACGAGGGTGCGCCGCACGAACGAGCGACGGCAGTCCACCTTTGCACCTTCTGCCCGTTGCCACTTGGCTCTTCCGCCGCAATGTCACTGGTTTTCCAGCTTTCCAGCGAGGTGAAGCACCTTCCACCTGGACGTTTGCCACGTCATCATTCTCGGCCTACTTGTTCCGCTCGGAATGTGCTGCACTGAAAAGGGGTGTAAAATACCTACGTTTTCTATGAAAGCCAGAGCCTTTTAACGTAGTTACGTTCTGGGAGCGTGACTACATCTTGAGCTATGTGTTGGGGGAGTGCTGTCGTCCAATAACCCAAAATAAGGATAGGGTAGTTTAGGGAGTTTTATGGACCCTCTCTTCTGGCATCATCACTTGCTGACGCGGATCTCCTCACAGATCACACACCAACGAACCGCCATGGCTGTCGAGTCTAGGGCGGGAAATTATAGATCCAGTCACAGACACTGGCTCGATATCACGAATGGTCGTCTGGCAATCACGAACGGTCACAAAATCTAGGATCCTATCACGGACGATCACAAAATCTGGAATTCTATCACGGGTAGTCACAATGTTGCCCCACGATCTATCACGTACGGTCATACAATGAAACGCTCCGTGGAAAGTTGAAATTTCACGAGTAGCTGTAGAGATTCGGGCAAAGTTATATTGTGCGCGAAAGAAAGTGTTACCTCCGAGTAAGTTCGCGACCACTTTCGCAAACTCGTTCAAAGCATGAAGCAATTGTCTTTTTCCCGCAGCAGATTTGCATAATCCGTCCGCAAAAAGAAAAAAAAAAACATTTTTCAAACCTCGTACCTGTGGACTCTCGGTATCAACCCTAAACACCTTGTCGTATGGTGTTTAGGGTTGATGCTCTCTCGGATGGCATGCCATCCGAGCGGGTTTTAGTTTTTTTTTTAGGCATGCAAAATTTTGTAACCTTCGCCTCCGCGACTCGCTACGGAATTAACCAGGCGAACTACGCCAATATGACAAGACCAGTCGCCAGTTAATTGTTCATAAATCTCAACAGTTTAAGGCCGTTACAGCTTCTACACCGTGCGTTTCGTCTTGTGACAAAACGTGATAAATTTCTGGGGCATCGTGTGACTATCCGTGATAGAAATCCCGGATTCTGTGACCATCCGTGATAAATAGCTAGATTCTGTGCCCGTTCGCGATAGCAGCGTGACTTTTTGTGATGACGAGCCCCTGTTTGTGACTGCCTATATATTAACCCTTCTAGGGCTGGTGGGGGCGACCTTACGCAAGCACAGAGCCAGCCCCCTCCACTTTCCTATGCGCCTTCCCTCGAGAGTTTTGCTCAATCCCGCGGAATTGCGGTTCGTATTATTATCGCCACGTGGCATGCCTTCGATCACGTGAACCGCGATCTGCTTTATTGTTATCACAAACTTAAGGAGAAATTTGGTTAAGTTCTGTACTCTGCTGCCCGTGGGCAAAAATAAAACCCATTCGGGCTTGGCATGCGTTAGGGAGGCATCAACCCTGAATGCCTTGCCTCTAGGTGTTTAGGCTTGATGCATCCCTAACGCATGCCATACCTATAGGGGTTTTATTTGTGCCCGCGGGCAGCGCAGTATAGAACTTAACTAAATTTCTCTAGTAGTTTGTGATAACAATATAACAGATCGCGGTTCACGCGATCATAGGATCGCCACGTGGCGAAAATAAACCAAACCGCGCTTCCGCGGGATTGAGCACAATTCTCCCTTCCCTCGCTTTGTGTCTTGCTTCCACGTCGCCCTTGGGTTGGTAGTTCCTAGTGAAAATATTCCAAGCAGTCCATTCCTGCGCAGGAGCAAACTATGCTTCAACTCACCTCGTTGGAAATACCCATTCCGATCTCCAGCCACTATTTTCGCCTTCTCACTCGTTTAGTTGATGAGTTTTGGTTCAGACGGTCTGCATATAGCCGACGAGAATAGATCAGCCGCGGTACCATACCATAGTACGGTCAGCGGTCAGTCAATAATACATTTATGGTCAATGAGTGGCACGTTCTGTCTGTCCTTTTGAGCTATTTCGTCCAATCGCCCAGGGTATTCTGATCTCGCTGTCACTCGGTCGTTCGCCGCCTCGTCAGACGCAACTGGCTGTTTCTTAACAATCACAGGGTGATGGAGATCATTTGAAGACGAGCTAGCCGTTGATTTCCCCCGCTCATCAATCTTACCACGCCTACACGTACTATTTAGCGAGGGACATATCAGTGCAGCAAGGAAGAGAAAAACGCGTACACAGGGTTACCAGCATGTCGCTGACTCGTCAGATCGCCGTCAGTTGCGCGACTTCCACAGCCTGTCAGCCCACCTCGTCTAGGTTTCCCAGCAGGAATGTCATCGGACACGTCAGCGCCACCAGCGTCTCCGCTTCTTATGTCGTCTTGAGTCCCTCTGGGCGACAAAACAGAAGGCGACGGCGGGCGACGTCGCTCGCATCACGACCCTGTGCGACAGGATCCGAGTCTCTTTGTTGCGCGAATTTAGAGTCGACCATTTCGTCCGCTCCCTTGGGCTCGCGAACCACGCAACGTATTCGCGGCTCCCTGAGAAGCAGTGGTATCGAACCTGTAACATTTCGCAGCAGCCTCAATAGCGAACATTTTTGTTCGGGTTACCACAGCAGATACCCTTTCCGTCAACCATACCATCCGTTATCAGGTTACCAACGACTCGCGTGTAGGCGCGGAGTCACTGTAGCAACCATGGCAACTGCCGACGCGGGATTAGGTTCGGGACTGCGTCCAGGTTTGGGAGGAACGGGATTGGAGCTAGCAGTAGGTTCGGAGGGGCAGGGATGGCGGCGATCGGTGGCAGTGATGGAGGCGGTGCGGCAACTGGAAGCCATGATGCGCGAGCCGGCGGCCGTTCTTGATAGCATGAAGGTACGTGACTGTATGAAGGTGACAATAGCGGTGGGTGTATAGTGTATGTGACAATACTGGGGGGAACGTGGCGGTCGGTGGCAGTGATGGAGGCGGTGCGGCAACTGCAAGCCATGATGCGCGAGCCTGCAGCCGTGCTAGATAGCATGAAGGTGCAAGATAGTACATAGGCGATAGTAATAACGTTGGGTGTATGTGATGGTAACGGGGGTATAGCGTCTGGAAGCAGGTCAGGCTATCCCTCGAGCATTTCGAGATTCGCATCATCTGTTTCTACCTGGTCTCTTGCTTACCCTCCCCTTCTTCTCCCGCACACTCCCGTGTCCCTCCGTCGCACATGGAAACAGGACAAGCTCTCTTTTTCTTAACCATCTCGAGATGCCCATCATCATCTTTTGTCCATTTGGACTTTTGAGTACTCGCGGAATCCCGCCTTCCACATGCCGTGTCCCGCGTTCCCCCTTTCCTGTCCCCTTCCCTCCCCCACTCGCTAACAAGACAAGCTCTCATTCGAAGATCTCGAGATTCCTTATCCACTGTTTCAACCGGTTGCCTACCCTCCCATCCCTCTCGGATCTTTTCTCTCTTCCCCGTGTCTTCCTTCTATCCTACATAATAACATTACCAGATCTTCTCCCCCCTCTCGCCTTCCCCGTGTCTCCCCCGTCTCTCCCCCGTCACTTCCCCTCCGTCTCTTCCTCCCTTCCTCCCGCCTGGTAACAGGACAAGCTATCTCTAGAGGATCTCGAGATTCTCATCGCCTACTTCGCCCAACAGGGTCGCGACATGTGGCAGGCGCTCGAGGTGTACGATTGGATGGTCCGCGGGAACCGCGTGGAGCGCCGAACGCGGCGCCTTATCCACGTCATCATGGACCAGCGCCTCGGGCAGCTGCTACAGGAAGGCTGCCCGACGGAAAAAGTTTTGCGGCTGGTGGGCAGAATGGTGGATCTCGGGCTGCCCCCGGATTTCCCGCTGAAAAGAATGGTAGGGGAGGAGTTGTGGGATAGAGGGGCGGTGGCGGAAGTCGTGAAGCTTCTGAGAATGTTCCGGAACGAGGAGGAAAGCGCGCGGAAGGAGCAGGGGGTGGTGGCTGGAGTGAGAGTTATGGCTTGGAATGAGGAGGAGGATGAGGAGGAAGAGGATGAAGAATGGGAGGAAAGTGAGGAGGGGAGTGTGTGGACTGGGTTAAGTGAGAGTGAGGATGAGGTGGAGATTGGTAGTGGTGGGCAGAAAGATGGCGAGGCACGGCCATCTGATTGCGCAACTCAAGGTAACACATTCTCATTCCTCCCCCGCCCTCCCGCCCGCCTCCCCCTCTCTCACCACCTTTCCCGTTTTCATCTCCTCCACATCTCTCAAACCCAACCCCTCCCGCCCTTGCCCCGGCCCCGCCCCCACCCTGCTCCCACCCGCACCCCCTCTTCTTCCTCCTCACCGCCTCTCCCCTCACTGCTTTCTCTTTCCATCAGTCTCTCGCTTGTTCCTGCCGTCATTCGCTTTCCAGGTCTCCCTCGCTGCCAGTGCTTCCCACACCCTTCCCTCTCACGCCTCGAATCTCTCTCACCCCATGGATTCTCCATCCTCCCTCCCTCACCCCCCTCCCCCCAACCCTCGCTCTCTTACAGCCTTGCATCATGCGATTGCTGAGCCGCCTAAAAAGAATTCTTCTTTCTTCCCTCCCTCCCTCCATCCCTCCCTCCTGCCCTCCCTCCCTCCCTCCCTCCCTCCCTCCCTCCCTCCCTCTTTCCCTCCCTCTTTCCCTCCCTCCCTCCCTCCGTCCCTCGCTCCCTCCCGCCCTCCCGCCATCCATCTCTTGCGTGCAGCCCCGCAGCATGAGAGTGCCCAGAGGAGCGCGCGGCAGGAGATTCAGGAGCGGCTGAAGCTGCAGCTGCTCGTGCGAGCGAGCGACCGTGGAGCCACTGGGAGTAGCAGCTGCAGCAGCGGCAGCACCAACGGCAAACAGAGCAGCAGCTTCAGCAGTAACAGCAGCAGCGGTAGCAGCTGCGAGGAGATGGTTATACAGAGAATACCGGGTCCAGGGGTGGGCATGGGAGCAGCTGAGTCAAGAAGGCAAGATGTGCGATTGTCAGGTGTGGAAAGGAGTGGGGTGCGGTCTGAACAACAACAGAGCAGCAGAGCTGCAGGTACTGAGGACAGCAGCAGAGGCGCTAGCACAGGAGGGGCGAATGAGGCGAAAAGAGGGCAGGGGCAGGAAGGGAAGCAGGCAGGCAGAGAGTCAAAGTCAAGAGAGGCAGAAGCAGAGAGGGAGGGGGATGAAGCAGCTGTGATGCGAGCAGCAGAGGCAGCAGCAGAGATGGCAGCAGCGGCAGTGGGGGAAGAAGAAGCGGCGATGAGAGCAGCAGAGGAGAGGGAGGATCTAGTGGGGCTGCTGCTGCTGCGAGCTGTTAGCGCTGGGCAGTACCGGCAGGTGCTGCCGCTGCCGCGCATGCTGAGAGAAGCCGGGGTGGAGGTGGGCGTGGCGGGGTTCGGTGCGGTGCTGACCGGTGCGGTGAAGGAGCAGGAGAAGCTGAGTGTGGCGCGGAGGGAGTTGAGGGATCTGCAGCAGATGGGCGTGGTGGGGCAGCTGTCGCCTCTGGAAGGGCTTCTACTGGAGGTGAGCATAGATAGGCAGGCGGTCAGGGCAGGCGGTGAGGTGAGTACTGAGTGATAAGGGGATAGAGGGACGAGGAGTTGAGGGATTTGCAGCAGATGGGCGTGGTGGGGCAGCTGTCGCCTCTGGATGGGCTTCTACTGGAGGTGATCCTACTAGGCGCGTTAAGGGAGTGGTGACAGTTGAATGATGCGGGATGGGGCTGCACTCAAGGAATGCCATTGCAGCAGATGGGCGTGGTGGGGCAGCTGTCGCCTCTGGAGAAACTTCTGCTGGAGGTGAGTGACCAGACTGGACGATTCTGCTTTGGGTGGACCAAAGGATGGGTCTGATGGGACAAACATCTTCTATAGGAGTGAAAATCCCTTCCTCTCAATCCCTTCCTCTCAATCCCTTCCTCTCAATCCCTTCCTCTCAATCCCTTCCTCTCAATCCCTTCCTCTCAATCCCTTCCTCTCAATCCCTTCCTCTCAATCCCTTCCTCTCAATCCCTTCCTCTCAATCCCTTCCTCTCAATCCCTTCCTCTCAGTCCCCTTCTTTCAATGTCCTCCTCCTCTCGATGCCCCCCTCTCAATTTTCCCCTCTCTGTCACTTGCACATGTAGGTCCACAGGGCAACGTTGCAGCACTAACCAACTTCTGAGGCGCTTTAAGAACACTGCCCGCCTCTCAATGCCCCCCTCTTACTGCCCCCCTATCCATGCCCCCCTCTCAATGCCCGCCTCTCGAACCTTCTGTCCCTGCCACTTGCACACACAGGTCCTTGGAGTAACGCTGCAGCACAAGGCAGGTTTTCAGGCACATCCCAAAGCAGACTCTCAACAACCTCCTCTCAATGTCCCCTGCTCAATCCTCCCCTGCTCAATCCTCCCCTTGTCCCTTTACTTGCACCCATGCAGGGGCAACGCTGCAGCACGAGGCAGGTTTTCAGCCATCGTTTAAAGCGATACTCTCAACAACCTCCTCTCAGTGCCCACCTCCCAATTCTCCCCTTGTCCCTGCCATTTGCACGCATGCAGGTTCACGGGGCAACACTGAGGCACGAGGTAGAGCAAGTGGTGCAGTGGTGTGCAGAGGAGTGCGGGGGCGACCTGCAAAGACTGAGGGAGGCTGTCTGCGAGAGAGAGAGGCAGCGGGAGGAGCGGCTAGCAGTGCTTGGACAGGCGGGCAAAGGGGGAAACGAGGTGAACGGGCGAGAGGCACAGCCGTACCAGCAAGTAGCAGAGGAGGTGGATGGAAGGGTATTTTTGTGGCGAGATGCTCAGATTGCTGGGCTGTCACCAGGGCTGTTGAGTGGGGGAGGCATGAGGGAAGAAGAGGAGGGATACAGAATAGGCTCGCAAGAGCGTGATGAGTCTTCGTTGCTGCTGGACCTGCAACGAAACAGAAAAGGAGAGGTGCAGTGGGAGGGTATATCGGAAGTGCAACGAGGGACGCAGAGGTTAGAGAAGGGGAGGGAGGGGGAGGGGGAGAGGGAGAGGGAGAGGGAGCTGCAATTGCTACTTTTAGGGGAACTTGCACCAGCACAGGCAGAAGCAGAAGCAGAGGCAGAGGCAGAGGCAGAGGCAGAGGCAGAGTCAGTTGTACAGTTGAGGCAGCAGGAGGGGGAAGGGCAGAGGGAGATGCAAAGAATAGAGGAGATGAAGAGGGTGAGAGGGAGGGGGAGGTTTCATGAAGCGAGTCAGAACTTATCTCGGGAGGAGCTAAAGCGATTGAGAAGGGTACAACAGTCAGAAAGGGAGAGGGAGAGGGAGAGGGAGAGGAGCAGGGAAATTCAGAGGCTAGAGCGGGAGAGGGAAAGAGACCTGTGGGTGCTGCAAGCGGGGGAGGTGGCAGCAGCGCGGGCGCAGGCGGGCATGCAGGGGAAGCTGGTGACGCTGTGGTTCAACGCGGGCCACCCCGAGCAGGCAGAGCGCGCACTGTGGGGCGTGGTGCAGCAGGGGGCGCCTGTACCTGGGGATTTGGCCGCCAGTGTTGCAGGGCTGTACGCATACTGGGGCGACCACACGGGGCTAAACAGGTAAGGAGGGAGGGTGAGGGGAGAAATGGGTCGCTGTGGGGCGTGGTGCAGCAGGGGGGAAGCGAGGTGACTTTTGAGTCGACTCAGGAGAAATGGGTCGCTGTGGGGCGTGGTGCAGCAGGGGGGAAGCGTATCTGGCGACCTGGCGGCTAGTGTGGCGGGGATGTATGTATGCTCACTGGGGAGACCAACTCTCTCTTCACAGGTAAGGGTGGGGACGTGCGAACAGGGGCATCCTGAGCAGGCGGAGCGGCCGCTGTGGGGCGTGGTGGAGGTAAGGAGGGTGAGGGGAGAAATGGGCGCTGTGGGGCGTGGTGGAGGTAAGGAGGGTGAGGGGAGAAATGGGCGCTGTGGGGCGTGGTGCAGCAGGGGGCGCCCGTGCCTGGCGACCTGGTGGTCAGTGTTGCAGGGCTGTATGCGTACTGGGGAGACCAACCCTTGCTCCGCGGGTAAGAAAGGGAGGACGTGCTTGCTTGGCAGTCAGAATGGGAAGACGTGGTTGCTTGGTAGTCAGAAAGTGGGGCGTGGTGCAGCAGAAGGGGTGCGGGTCTGGCGACTTGGCAGCGCGTGTTGCGGGGTTGTATGCATAATGGGGCGACCACTCGGCGTTAAACAGGTGGGTGTGTGGGGGGGGGGAGTAGGAGAGGGGTGGAGAGAAAGGGCCCGGAAAGGGGGTTGGGTGGTTTGCAATGCATGGTGATTCGATTCTGGACAGGCGGAGTGGTGAATGCAGGAAAATCACCTCCCTCCCTCCCTCTCTCCCCCTCTCTTTCTCCCCCCACCCTCCTCCCGCCACCAGCATCATACAACGGCTGGAAGCACTGGGGAGTCCCCTGGACGAGTGGGCGTATGCACTCGTGGTGGGGGCCGCCATGCGTTCTCTGCTCTCCAACCGCTCTCTCATCATGCCCTCTCTCTCCTCTCTCTCTCTCTCTCTCTCCTCTCTCTCTCTCTCTCTCTCTCTCTCTCTCTCTCTCTCTCTCTCTCTCTCTCTCTCTCTCTCTCTCTCTCTCTCTCTCTCTCTCTCTCTCTCTTCCCCCCACAGTTTCATACAGCGGCTGGAGGCACGGGGGAGTCCCCTGGACGAGTGGGCGTATGCACTCATGGTGGGGGGAGCACTCAAAGGCGGGCATGTAAACGTGGCTGCATTCGCTGTGAGGGAGGTGAGGATGAAAGGGGAGTGCGTGTGTGCGTAGCTGGTGTACTGGGTCCGTCCAAGGTTAAAAAATACGACCGAATTTTTGAAAATTTACCGTAGAATACGGTATCGTATTTTACGGTCGTATTAAACGGTAAAATACGGTCAGACCTTGCATTTTTAGGTTCGTTCAAAAATACGGTCGTTTTTTACGGCCGAAATTTTTAAACCGAGACTTGTGAGTTTCCGTGGGGCTCAGGAACATCCCCACAGAAGCTTAGACAGGTTCCGTGGCCATCTGTAATAGTCTAGGGTTGGGCTGAGGCCAATGTCGAGATCTGTGAAAGTGTATGGGGGGTTGGGTCTTGTAGATCCAGTGCGGTGACAAGTGGTAAGTGGCGACGAATTGGTTGGGACAGTGAGTTCCAACAATTTTGACGGGGAGGAAGGGGTGCCTGACTTAGGGTTCTCAGTTCGTGGCGAATTCAAATTGACCACTGAAATCGCCGATCTGTGCAGAGCTATGGGCGAAATCGCCGATCTGCGCAGATCGGCGGGCGAAATTGCCGATATGCGCAGATCGATGGGCGAAATCGCCGATATGCGCAGATCGGCGGGCGAAATCGCCGCAACCGATAGGGACTGCTTATAATGGTCTGAGTTTCGGGGGGGAGCGGCTTTTTAGGCCTGATAGTTAGCAATTTCTTTGATGTTCACATTCCTAGAAGTGGATGGTAGCAAGTCTGAAGTTTGATACTTTTTTTTTGCGGAGAAAAAAGCTCTAACAAAAAAACGGCAGAATTTTTTAAAATTGACCGTAAAATACGACCGTAAAAAACGGCCCGTATAATACGACAACCGTATTTTTTAACCTTGGGTCTGTCTGTGGTGGGGGGGAAGGGAGCACTCAAGGGCGGGCACGTGGACGTGGCTGCATTCGCCGTGACTCGTGAGGGGGGTAAGAAGAGAGAGAGAGAGTGTGTGTAGCTGGTCTAGTGAGTCGGTATGTGCTCATGGCGTCTTCTGGACGAGTGGGCATATGCGCTCATGGTGTGGGGGGGTGCGCTCAAAGGTGGACACGTGGTCGTGGCTGCTTATGCCGTGCGGGAGGTGAGGAGAGAGGTTTGAGTGTGCAGGTGCGGTGGAGGTGAGCATGCTTGTGGGTGTGTGTGCTTGTGGGTGTGTGTGCTTGTGGGTGTGTGTGCTCGTGGGTGTGTGTGCTTGTGGGTGAGCATGCTTGTGGGTGTGTGTGCTTGTGGGTGTGTGTGCTTGTGGGTGTGTGTGCTTGTGGGTGTGTGTGCTTGTGGGTGTGTGTGCTTGTGGGTGTGTGTGCTTGTGGGTGTGTGTGCTTGTGGGTGTGTGTGCTTGTGGGTGAGCATGCTTGTGGGTGTGTGTGTGTGCTCGTGGTGGCGAGTGCTTTCAAGGCCAAGCATGTGGATGTGGCTGCATCTGCTGTGAGGCTGGTGAGGAGCGAGCATGTATGCATAGCTGGTGTACTGAAGTCGGTGTGCGCTCTTCCCCACCCAACTGAATCCCCCTCTCCCTCCCCCCTTCCCCCACCCATGTACTGCAGATGGTGCGGAGGGGCATGCAGCCCAACGCACAGCAACTCGCTATAGTGTTGCGGCGGTTACAGAGGGGGGATGCGGGAGTGGAGGCGTATCTGGGGCTGTGCGCGGCCCTGGCGGACGTGGGGCTGCTGGAGCCCACCCTCGTCTTCCTCTATGTTGATTTGCTGCGCCTCTGCATCCTGCGCATGCTGTAGGGGCCAGCGAGCGGGCACTGCACAGAGGTGTGGAGGCGTATCTGGGGTTGTGTGCTGCCCTGGCGGACGTGAGGCTACTGGAACCCATGCTCGTCTTCCTCTACGTTGATCTGCTTTGGGTCTGCATCCTGCGCGTTGCTCTGAGCAGTAGGGTTGTATTTCATCATGTCAGGGCTGTGTTGCCGCTGCTGCTGCTGCTGCGGCCGCTGCTTCTGTTGTGGAGCTTTCGGAGCCCACGCTGCGTCTCTGCATCCTGTTACATGCTGTAATCGCTGCGTCTCTGCATCCTGTTACATGCTGTAATCGCTGCGTCTCTGCATCCTGTTACATGCTGTAATCGCTGCGTCTCTGCATCCTGTTACATGCTGTAATGGAGGCTGGCAGTGACATACAGGCCCGTGTTTCTGTCGATGATGCCTCCTCTGCTGGAACTGCCCTGAGGCTTCCCACCCTTTTGTTCCTCTATGGTATGGCGATTCGCTGCGCCTCTGATCGGCTCAGCAACAATGGACAGGAGCTGTAACAAGTACACTTCATGCCACACATTGTGGCTTGCATGTTTCTACGTATTTTCTGCTGTATATTTGTTGTGCGCTTATGAAATGATGCCATACTTGCCCCTGCAATACTTGGGTGTGACCGAAAGGGTGTGGCACACATGCACAGCAATACACATGCAGGGAACCACTGGTTACACGCTTTCCTCTATTCCACTCATGGCGAGAAAGCTTACACACTAATCCTAAGAAAAAAACATTTCTCATGAACCTATTGTTTAGGTTGGGTCTAAAACAGCAAGCCCTCCCTCCTCCGCCTGGGTCGGAAGAGCAACTCTTGTAGCACACCGGTGGCAGAGCCTCGGGGACGCAAATCACTGCTCCAAGACTCAACCTCCCGTGCTGCCTTCCCTTCTGCTTTCTCTGCCCCTGCTGCCTTCTCTTTTGCTTCCCCCGCGGTTTCCTCTGCTGCTTTACCTACTGCCTGCTGTCGGGTGTTACCTTGCTCTGTAGCGCAACTAGCAAGCAGCTGGGGTGACGGTAGGTGTTTCTGCTTGCGCTGCTGACACACAATGGTACTACTTGGCTTCTGTGGTGTCTCAGGGCGGAATTGTGGCAGGTGTTTGCGCTTCTGCCTCTCACCCTCCCCCTGCACCACACCCTCTGCTCTCCTCCCTTCACCCTTTACCCTCTCGCCCTCTTCTGCGCTCCCTCCCTCTTGTGGTCTCCCTCCCTCCTGTGCCTCCATCCCCTCGCTCTGCTCTCTGTGCTGCTGAGGGGCCACCCTACACGACCTCCCTGTCCGTGGTGCTGGAAGCGCCGCTGGTGCTTCTCCCTGAAAGACCCTCTTCTCCACACATGCCAGCTCTCGCCCCCCTTTCGCTGCTGCTGCTGCTGCTGCTTCTGCCTCCTCTTCTGCAGCTGCTTCCCCCGTTGCTGCTACTGTTCCGTTCCCAGCACGTTCATTCTCCTTGGCAACGTGCCGTCGCAACAGAGCCCTGATTTTGCCTGCTCTGCTCACCCCTCGGCCATCCCTGGCACCTTGCAACTTCAACTCAATAGTACTGGCCGCTCCATTGTTCCCCACGCCCCTGTTGCCGCCCCCTTCACTGCTTCTTTCGGGATTATTCCTGTCGCCTTCAGTATTTTGCTCCCCTTCACCACTCCTTCCGCTGGTGCTTCTGCTGCTGATGCTGCTTATTGCAATGCCCCTAGTTGGAGTGCCATCAGAGCATCTGGACCGTTGGATCATCGACCACAAGACTGGGCCCGGACCTGATGAGATGCGTGGTGGTGAGGGACAGGTGAAGGGGAGAGGAGGTAAGGGAAGAGTAACGAGGAGAGAGGTGAGGAAAAGAGAGTGAGAAGCAAGGAGAGCAGAGGGACGGACAACAGGAGAGGGGCTAGTGAGGGGCAGGCGAAGCGACGCGAATCAAGTAGCAAAACACATGTAACACAGCCACACTCCAGCTACCTCGACCTCGCATGCATAGAGTTAGAGGGGTGACTCACTCAGTGATCGTGCCCGGGCAATGAGCCTGCAGACCCTCCTGGCTGGATCAAAGGAGCTCTGCCTCACCACTCCCAAGATCACCCCTCCTCCTCCCCGCTCCCACTCCTCCACCTCCCTCTCCTCCTCTCCCACCTCCCTCTCCTCCTCTCCCACCCCCCTCTCCTCCTCTCCCACCCCCCTCTTCTCCTCTCCCACCTCCCTCTCCTCTTCTCCCACCTCCCTCTCCTCCTCTCCCTCCTCGCTCTCTGTCGCCACCTCCTCCTCCTCCTTGTTCACCTCCTCCCCGGCGTGGCCTCCGTTCTGTTCATCCTCCACACCTCCTCGAAGCTTCCAATCCCCCACCTCCCCCCTCTCCCCTCCCTTCCCTCCCTCCTCCCTCGCCATCACCACCTCCTCCTCCTTGGTCGCCTCTTCCACTGCCTCGGCCCCGTTCTGTTTCTTATCCTCCACGCCTCCTCCGTCCTCTCTCATGCGCCCCGCCTGCTGCTCCTGCGGCTGCTCCCCCTCCTGCTGCTTCTCCTCCTGCTGCTTTTCCTCCTCCTGCTGCTCCTCCTGCTGCTTTTCCTCCTCCTGCTGCTCCTCCTGCTGCTCCTCCTGCTGCTCCGCCTGCTGCTCCTCCTGTAAGTCAATGGCGGGCGCATCACACCCAACCACGACAAGCACACCCTCGTCGCCCCGCACTCTCTCCTTCCCTGATTCGTCCCCCTCTGCTCCCTCAGCCAACCCCTCCTCTTCTACAGACTTCTCCCCTGCACCTTCCCCCTCCGCCACGCCTCCCCCCTCCACCACGACTACCCTGCCTGCCACGCCTTTCCCCTCCGTCGCCCCTCCCCCCTCCGCCACCCCTTGTTCGCTCCCCCTTGCGCCCTGCACTGCCGCTGCTGCTACTCTTCCCTCTGTTTCAACTAATTCGATCGCAGCAACTGCAACAGCAGCAGAAGCAGAAACAGAAGCATTACCAGCAGCAGCAGTAGGAGCAGCAGCACAGCCACCATCAGGAGCAAGATCAGCACCATCATCAAAAGCACCAGAACCAGCGGAACCAACAGCAGCAGCAGCACCACCAGCAATAACAGCAGCAGCAGAACCAGTAGTAACAGTAGCAGCAGCATCATCAGCAGAAGCAGCACAGGCACTCGCATCTCCGTCCGCAGCAGGCCCATCGTTCCCATCACCATCGCCATCACCACCACCAGAAGCAACAGCAGCAGCAGCACCAGCAGCACCGTCTGTACTTCCGAGCAAGTTGCTCATCTTCCGCTCCTGCTGCCACCTATCGCTCCTTCCCCTCCCTGACTCGTCTCCCCTGCAGCCCTCTTTCGTCCTCGATACTGGCACCTTCACCTGTTCGTCGTAGCTGACAGGGACGCGGTTCTCACCCCCTTGTACCGCATCTCGTCCAGTCACATCTCTTTCCACCGCATTTTCCAGTACCTGTTGCAATTTCTTCTCGTGCTGCTCGATTCCAGCTGCTGCCAGCCCCGACGAATTCCATGCTGCCACGTGTCGTTCGCCTGCCGCTCTCTGAGACGGCGCGTTGCCGTCCACCCGTTTTAAGGCGCATCGGTTACGCATCACGTTCGAAAATGCACCTCTCGCACTCTCTTTTCCCGCGCCACCGCCCTTGCTACGGCCCACAGCCTGGGAGTCGTGCGGACGGTCGTGTGTCTCAGCTGCTCCCACAGATGGACGATCAAGATTTAATTTCGTCGTTCCATCCGCTTCTCCCGCTCCGTCCGCGCGTACAATCCCTTCCGAAGGCCCCTCTCGCGGGGAGCTTCCGCTCTCCCCCGTTTGCCTTCCGGTAACCGCGCTCGTCGTTCCGCGGATGCTCCCCCCGCCGCGGGGGGAGGGGCGTCTTGCGCCAGATTTGCGCATACCGTCGCTGTGAGGGACATTCTGGTCCCCGCGGGGGGAACTCCTCTGGGCGAACTGTTTCCGCGGGGGGGCTTCATCCCCGCCATGGGTCTTTTCACTTCCGCGGGCGTTAGGTTGGCGGAAGGTTTGCCGCGGGCGCGAAAGAGAGGGAGGGAGCGGGAGAGGGGAGGGGTGGCAGGGAAAGCGCGCGCGTTTGGCCGAAAGCGCGTAGTAGGACAGAGGGGGCGGTACGCGCCCACTTGCGCCAGCTCCGGTACCGATTCCGCTTTCGCGGGCATCACTTCCGCCTCCGCAATTATCACCTCCGCTTTCGCGATTACTACTGGTTCCGCCGCCCCAGCACCAACTACTGCTACTCTCGGCGCACGTGTGCAGACAGTCGCTTAGGTAGCGCTCTACCCACTCCTTCCGCGAAGCTTCCTCTTCCTGCCTCGACCCCTCCTCATGTGGGACAAGCGGTCCGGTGATCTCCGAGCGGCGTCGCTGATTGGTCGCAGTCATGCGACAATCGTTGCCCTCGCCGTTCTCGCTGGCGCCGATGTACCCCTTATAGGGCTCCGCGGCACCAATGTGGGTCTCTTCCATACAACCGCAAATAAGCATTTGTACCTCCCTGCAAATGCAGCCGCGCTGCGTTTCGTCGCTGCCGTCACAGCGGGTCCGGTCGGACTCTGGAGCGCGAGTGCGAGCCGGCTGCGATCCTACTAATCTTCCTGAACCCGCGACTCCGTCGCTCAGTTTGCCACGTGTGTCGCTACGCCTGCCACGTGTATCGCCCCGTGTGCCACGTGTATCACCCCGTTTGTTACTGTAACACCAGTGCCCATCCTTTTGGTTCTGCAAGGCTGCTGAAGCGAGGAGCTTTCGTAGCTGCTGTATTGAATCCTTCGAGGTCGCAACTAGCGGGGAGAGGTGAGAGCGGGAGGGAGAGGAGGATGAAGAGGAGGAGGGGCTGACTTGGGGTGATGGGGTGAGCGCAGGCGAGAGGGTATCAGGCGATTCGCAGCCCTCATCAGAATTGCACAAACTGTCGCTACATTCTGAATTTGGAGCGATTACGAGTTCGCAAACTTCCAAGTGGTCGCCACGACGCGGTGTGACATGCACCTTCGTCGTCCCGTGTGGTTCAGCAAAATTCCATGCAGAATCGTGCGAAACGGAACGCAACGCAGCTTGCGACGCCATCGTGTCGTGGTCGCCCGGCGCCGGCGCAATACGATCAATTCACATACAATTGCAAACGTCGAATATATACCATCATTAGCCTGGGTGCTCAACCGTTGACTACTTATGAGGCGCCTCAAAAGCAGCAGATATAGTCTAGTGCATTCCGGACTTCCACGGTGCCACGCCAAGCCGCTAATATCCAGCTTTGGAAGAACAGGACATGGTGCGAATTAGCGGAGAGTTTACTAGCATCAACCTGACAACTTCCATATGCTTTCTGCAAGGAAACTCAGAAGTTGAACGTGGTTACGGATCGGTGGGAAAGGGTTGCCTATTTTGCTTGTGCCTCCTCGTGGAGCCGCGCGAGGGATATAAATTTCGCTGCGCAATTTTGACCAGCACGCGCTGCGACCAGCTGACTCCTCAGGCCAACGGGAGGGAGGAATTTCCAAGAAATGAAAGTTGGCCCCACACCAAGGGTGCAGCTGAGCCGACCTGACGTGACGGCTGCTGATCGAGGCGAATGCACCGAACCGACCGACAGACAGATGTGGCCTCGATCTGACACCTGACGAACCGCCTGTTCGAAGAAGGCGCTTCGCTAATCGATAGAAGGAGGTTTCATAGTTTGGGAAACATGCAAAATCTTTGTATATAAGGCAAACTTCCGGCTTGCACATCAAATCATATGAGGCTCTATAGCACTAGTGTCAAACACTAACACTTGTGAACAACTCATTACCGTACATTAGCATATCCTCATTTTAGATATTTCTGCATCATGGAACGCTTTTCTGCTTCTTCCTCGCGAGAAACCGGGCACGAGCATCACTCACCTTGTCTTCTGCTGATACCTTCACACTCTTACTATCACCACCCTCCAATGGCTTTCTGACACCTGGCGAAGAATGTTCACCAGAAACCCCAGCACCACCATTCCCCCCACCAGCAGAACCCCCCTCACGCCCTACTCCACCAGCCTGTCTCGTCTCATCCTCGCCCGCACCTTCCTGGCTGCTTCTCAGAGGCAAGCCATCCCCCCTGCTTGCACCGGGACCAGCAGCAGCACGCACAGCAACATCACCCCTTCCCACACCCCCACTTCCTTCCTCTCCACCACTCTCCTCCCGATCCCTCCCCGCACTCACAGCACCTTCCTGTTCCCCATCCCCATCCACCGCTGGCAAATCTCCCCTTAGCATCCTCTGCCGTCCGTCTGACAACACAGCAGCTGCCGCCCCCTGCTTGCCCCGCCCCATCGGCTCTCCCACTGGCAGCTCACGCTCCTTGCTCCCTGCTCTCTGCTTCTCCCTGCCCTCCTCCACTCCTGCCCTCCCCTCCTCTTTCCCCAACCTCCCACTGGGCTTCACCCCTGTGTCTGCTTGAGCATCCCGCACGCCTGGGGACTTTGCTTGAGCATCCTGTGCCCGGTACAGGTTGCGGTACAGATCTGTCAGGTCAGACCGCTTGGTCACCTGGAGGAGACGTGGGGGCAGGAGGGGGAAGGAACGGAAGGACGAGGAAGGGGGGAAGAGGGGGAAAGGGGAAAAAGCGGGGAAGGGGAAGAAAGGAATGGGGGAAATGGGGTAATGGGGAACAAGGGGGGAAGGGGGGAATGGCAGGGTGGTAAGGGGGGCAAAGCAGAGATGAAGAGTTGACGTTGCAAAAAGGGAGGTTGGGGCGGAAGGGAAAGGGGCAGGGGAGGAGGAGGGGAAGTGAGGAAAGGGGGCAGCAGGGCGGGAAGAGGGGTTGAAGCAGAAATCAAAATTGTGCTCTTCAAAAGCAGGGGAAAGAGAGGATCAATCATCATTACGTGACTGTACAGAGTAAAATGGAAAGAAAAAGGGAGGGGAAAAGGGCAAGGGAGGGGGCGGGGACATGGGCACGGGAAAGAAGAGGAGAAAGGCAAGGGAGGGGGAGGGGAGAAGGGCAAGGGAGGGGGCGGGAAAAACGCTCATGCCAGTGCCCATGCCCATGCCCATGCCCATGCCCATGCCCATGCCCATGCCCATGCCCATCCCCAATCCCCATCGCAACACCCCATTCCACAAGCACCCAGCAGCCGTCCCTCCTCACATCGTTAGCCGCCTCCTCAGCCTCCTTCCTCTTCTCCTCCGCCAGCCATCGCTGCCGCTCCACCAGCTTCTCGCGGTAAGCGCGCGTGACAAACCGCTCCTTGCCCGCGAACTCCTCCTCCTCCTTCGCCCTCTCCTTCGCCAGCAGCCGCTCCTGCACCAGCTCCTTCTCCTTCTCCCTCTCCTTGGTCGTCTTTAACAGGTTTGGAATGTAGCGGGCCTGCCGTCAGGGAGAAACAGGCACATAGGGTCCAGACCAGACCAACAGAAAGGGACGGCACGAGGCCCAACTGTGTTTGCTTCCCTCTCCTTCGCCAGCAGCCGCTCCTGCACCAGCTCCTTCTCCTTCTCCCTCTCCTTGGTCGTCTTTAACAGGTTTGGAATGTACCGCGCCTGCAGTCCGGGCGAATGAGAGGCGAATGCAAGGGAAAGGACACGACCGATACAAGAGACAGGACAAGGTTTTCTTGTGTTCTCTTCCCCTTCCTTCACCCTCTCCTTCGCCAGCAGCCGCTCCTGCACCAATGCCTTCTCCTTCTCCCTCTCCTTAGTGGTTTCAGCAGGTTCGGAATGTACCATGCCTGCAGTAGGCGTGAATCGAAGGCAAAATGGAAGGAGCAAGGCAAAAGCAAGGGACAAGGGCCTGTGGTTTCAGATTCCTCTCATTTGGCAACAAGAGCCACTCACACACAACCTCCTTCTCGAACACCCAAACATAGATGGGTCCTTCGAGTCGCCTTAGAAACAAAACGCGCAGCACCGCACAGGACCGCACTGCACGCACCTGTCTTTGCACGGAATCCTTGGCGGCGCGAATGTGGTCGAACACCCCGTCGTAGTCAAACACTGATGGCTCCTCCGCCATGGCCTGCTGCTTGAGGTGCCTTACATAAAAATAAAACCGTGCAGAACCGCACTGCACCACATTACACTGCACTGCACCGCACTACACTGCACTGCACCCACCTGTCTCTGCACGGCCTCTTTGGCTCGCGAGGTCCTGGCGGCGTGGATGGTGTCGTACACCCCGTCGTAGTCAAACACTGACGGGTCCTCCGCCATCGCTGCCTCGTGCTGCTGCTCCGTCTGCACACACAACAAGGGCGGCGGTAGGAGAGGGCACGGGATAAAATGAGACGAGTTGTAAGGCGCCTTGGAAGCTGCCTCGTGCTGCTGCTCCGTCTGCACCCACCACCACATGATGCGGTAAACAGAAGAGGACAAGGGACAAAATGATTTCGAAACAAGGTATAAGACGGGCGCTAGTGCTGCCGCTTGATCGCAATAAGGGGCCGTCCACAAGTTGGAAAATATGCGGGTAGCCTAGTAGCTGCTGTGTCGGCCCTTCTTGAAACTCTGCCTTGACGTGGCCGCCTACTCGCCGCGTCGAGCCTACTCGCCGTCGTTTACGCGTAATCGCCGCGTCGTCACCCGTCATCAGCTAAATTCCACCATCACCACCACGATTTTGACATGTCCACAACCCGCCCGCAGATCACGCCGCACCTCACGCTGGCTTCGCTTCTTGAGGTTCTGCCTCGCGATATCGGCCTCCACATCGTCGTCGTCATCGTTGCCGAAAAGCGTTTCCAGCTTCGCATCTCGCACGGGTGGTAACGGCTTCGCCGCCGTCGCAGGGCGATGGCTTTGCGGCTTGCGGCGAATCTCGAGGCCGTACTTCACGGGCTTCGACCGATCCATGGCGGAGATTATTGAAAGGTAAATTGAACAAAAAAGGATAGATATTCCGAGGCAAATACGGGACGCGGCTCGCGGCAGCCCAGGAAAGCGGAACGTCTTGGTGTTCTGGGGAGTACAAAACAGGTCTTGTGGTGATCTCAAACATGGTTACCACATATGTAACAATAATGCAGTGTTGGGATTTCTCTTGACTACAATGATATAAAGTATTTATGCATGGGTGTTACTGGTGCAATTAAGCGAAAGAGGATTGCACTATCGATGTAAGAATGGAGGACAGAGCGAAGATCATGTACCAAGATAATGGTAATGGCAATGCATGGATTTATGTGGTGCTCTACAAGCCGAGCGCTGGGGGTTTGGAGTAGGCTGAGATGTAGGGCCGGACAGCGGACGAGTTGTCGTTGCCGGTCCATCTTTCAATGGAGTGGATCCAAAGGGTAAAATAAATATTATGCTAGACAGCACCTAGATGACCCAAGCAGGTGTGAACTTTCCATTTAAATATTTGTTTTGACATGTGAACACGTCGCTCTGCTTGGCGCCTTCAGAGTCCACCCTAGGAACTTTGGTTTCTTTATGACCCCTGCTAGGATGCCCTTCTTGTGCCGCTGGTAATTAGGTTATGTGCAATTTGTTTTGTGATTTTATTGAACTGAGTTGTGTCATTATCTAGCTGTGCGAAAGGAACACACCAGCCCAGTTATCGCAAATGCATAAACCCAATATTGCGTGTGCATTATGTTTACAAGCCTTGGCTGTAACCAACAAAGCATTCATGTCAACACAGGTGCTCATATTTTTTTTCACAGCTCCTCCTGAAGCATCAGTGATTGGTATCATTAGTGATTGGTCGTTTCAGTCATGCGTGTAGGATGGTATGGTAGATAGAGATGGGAGTTTCAGTCACGAGCGTAGGATGGTAGATAGAGATGGGCGTTTCAGTCATGAGCGCAGGATGGTAGATAGAGATGGGTGTTTCAGTCACGAGCGTAGGATGGTAGATAGAGATGGGTGTTTCAGTCATGAGCGTAGGATGGTAGATAGAGATGGGTGTTCCAGTCACTAGCGTAGGATGGTAGACAGACATGTGTGTTTTGCTTTCCTTCAATTTGTAGAGTCCATACCAAATGCATGAGTACATGGTATACATGCCTTCACATGAAATGCATGAAATGATAGGCATGCCTTCACACCAAACGCATGACTTCACAGAAAATGCATGGCTAGATTCTTTACATGCCCTCACATTAAATGCATGACTATGTCATATGCATGCAGTCACACCAAATGCATGACTAAACGACATGCATCCTGTCACACCAAACGCTTGTCTGCATGATATGCTTGTGTTCTCACCAAATGGTCGACCGCATGATATGCATGCCATCACACCAATTGCATCCATACATGCCTTCATACCGAATGCATAACTACATGATAGACATGCCTTTACACCAAATGCATGAGTGCATGATATGCATGCCTTCACACCAAATGCATGACTACATAACATTCATTCATGTCGCCACACCAAACGCATGACTGCATGACGTGCATGCCTTCACACCTTATGCATGTTGACACGCTTTCACACCAAAAGCGAGACTACATAAGAAGTGCCTTCACACAAAATGCATAACTACATATTCGATTATCATTTCATTGCATACCCACCAAAGGCGTGATTACATGATAGGCATGCCTTTACACGATGCCACGGATACACGATATGAATGCTTTCAACCCAAATGCATGATTACCTTATATGCATGCCGTCACACCGCATGCATGCACACCTTCATACTGCACGCATGCACTCTTTCACACCAAATTCATGCATACCTTCACATTGAATGCATACCTTCACATTGAATGCATACCTTCACATTGAATGCATACCTTCACATTGAATGCATACCTTCACACCAAATGCATACCTTCACACCAAGTGCATACCTTCACACCAAATGCATACCTTCACACCAAATGCATGACACACATCCATGCATGTCTTCTCACCGCATCAGCTGTGTTCTAGAGACTTCGCTTATGAAGCCCGGGCCTGACCTGCTGGAAGGGGATCTCCCAAGCCCTTAAAAAAAATAAAAATTGTGGATTTAACTTATACATATACAAAGCATAGACGAAAAGGAAGACGTAAGCATGAGCGAGCATGGGAGCTACGTTACTGGGAAGACCTCCTCGCCCTATACAGCTCCTACGCCTACAGGGCAGTCCTTTGAGGGGCCCCAGAACGACCACTGGGGCGCCTCAAATGCTACATCACTGGGAAGTCCTCTGCTCCCTATACAGCACGGCCTCTGTGCAGTCAAACATGAGTAGATCCGCATCGCCGGACGTGTGTGCAGCTGGCACGGACACCACTTCTTAATCAGCACTCCCTTGAATGAGAGACCCAGACCTGCTCCGGGCATCGTCAAACTGTACAGGCAGCTTTTCTAGATTAACACTCCCTTGAATCAGCACCCCCGACTTGGCAATGTCGCCTGCCATCAGGAAAGGTCATCCAAGCATGCCTCTGGACTGACCCATGCATGCATGGTGAAGCATGCATGCATGCATGAGTCCATGGAACTGTACCTCATGCTCCCCATGGTCATGCCCATGTGTGTTGTCAACCCTATTCAGTTCGCATGTTTCAATGCTCGTGCTCGCACTCGTGCCCCCATCGTGAAAACTAGGCTGGCCGCTCGCGCCTGCACATGTTCTCCTAAACCCTAAACCCTCAGCATCTATTCCCGAGGGCTGTGCACTTGCACCCAAGCCATGCAGCGTTGTGTGGCCTGTGGAAAACCCAGGAGTGAGGTGAGCACGGCTGCCACTATACCTAGCCACACTGCCCCACAATCTGCATATAAACAGCTCGCTGCATTTGGTGATCCGGCTGCTGCTGCAGCTGCTGCCCTGGCTGCTGCTGCTGCTGCTGCTGCTGCAGCAGCACTGCTGGTTCGGCTGAAGATACTGTTGGTGCTGTAGGACAAGGTCATAAAGCTGCTCCTGCTGATGATACCGCTGCTGGACCGAATGAAGATGGTGATTCTGCTCTGGCTGCTGCTGCTGCTGCTGCTGCTGCTGCTGCTGCTGCTGCTGCTGCTGCTGCTGCTCCTGCTCCTGCTGCTCCTGCTCCTGCTGCTGCTGCTGCTGCTGCTGCTGCTGCTGCTGCTGCTGCTGCTGCTGCTGCTGCTGCTGCTGCTGCTGCTGCTGCTGCTGCTGCTGCTGCTCCTGCTGCTGCTGCTCCTGCTGCTGCTGCTGCTGCTGCTGCTGCTGCTGCTGCTGCTGCTGCTGCTGCTGCTGCTGCTGCTGCTGCTGCTGCTGCTGCTGCTGCTTCTGCTGCTGCTGCTGCTGCTGCTGCTGCTGCTGCTGCTGCTGCTGCTGCTTCTGCTGCTGCTGCTTCTGCTGCTGCTGCTGCTGCTGCTGCTGCTGCTGCTGCTCCTGCTGCTGCTGCTGCTGCTGCTGCTGCTGCTGCTGCTGCTGCTGCTGCTGCTGCTGCTGCTGCTGCTCTGCTTCTGCTGCTGCCGCCCCTGCGGCTGTCCCTGCTGCTCCTGCAGATCAAACATAAGATTTTGCTGCTGCTCTGCTGAAGAGGGTGATTTTTCATTGATTGCTGCTGCTGCTGCTGCAGCTCAGACTGAAAAGAGTGCAGCTGGGAAGCAAGCAGTCAAGCACAACTAGATTAGTGTCGCTCACTTTGTGAACAGCTGGCACGGGAACCACCTCCTCCGAGCATGGCAGCACTGTCACTGGGAAGTCCTCTGCTCCCTATACACCACGTCCTCAGTACAGTCAAACACGACAAGATCCGTGTCGTTGGCTTTGTGTGCAGCTGGCATGGGTACCATCTCCGAGTCATCATTCCTTTGAATCAGCACTCCCGACTTGGCAATCTCGTCTGCCATCAGGAAAAGGTCATCCAGGCATGCATCTGGAACGGTCCCATGCATGCATGAGTCCATCGAGTTGTAGCTCATGCTCCCCATGGTCATACCCATGCTGTCAGCCCTATACAGTTGGCAGCTCATGCTCCCAACAGCTATGCCCAGGCTGTCAACCCTACTCAGTTGAAGCATGTCAGTGTGGCTACCCCCATCCTGGACGGTACTAGGCTGTACGCTCGTGCTTGGACTGGTGTGTGCATCTGCGCTCCAAAACCCTCTACCCTCAGAATCTGTTCTCGAGGGCCCTGCACCTGCACCCAAGCCATGTAGAGTTGTGTGACCTGTGGGAAGCCTGGGAACGTGAGTGCGGCTGCCAGTGTAGCCACTACTGCTGCCCCCCGAATCAGCCATATGAACAGCTCGCTGCATTAGCTGATCCGGCTGCTGCTTCTGTTGCTTCTGAGGCTGAAGTTGTTGATGCTGCTCTGGCTGCTGCTGCTGCTGCTGCTGCTGCTGCTGCTCCAACTGTTGTTGAACCTGCTGAAGTGGCTGCTCCAGCTGCTGCCGAACCTGCTGCAGTAGCTGCTCCGGCTGTAGCTGCTGCTGTTGCTGTTGCTGCTGCTGCTGCTGCTGCTGCTGTTGCTGTTGCTGCTGCTGCGGCTGCTGCTGTGGCTGCTGCTTGTGCTGATGGTCCAGCATAAGATGCTGTAGCTGCTCCAGAGAAATATGCTGATTCCACACTGGCTGTTGCTGTTGCTGCTGCTGCTGCTGCTGCTGCTGCGGCTGCTGCTGCTGGTCCATCATAAGTTTCTGTTGCAGCTCCAGAGAAAGATGTTGATTCTGCATTGGCTGCTGCTGCTGCTGCTGCTGCTGCTGCTGTGGCTCAGACTGAAGAGATTGCAGCTGGGACGCAAGCAGGTGCGAGTATTTCAACAAAAGGGCTGCATCCGGTGTAGCACAATCAGTGATTGGCTGGACAGTCCAGGCATCACACGGCTCCCAGGGAACTATACCGCATGCAGCCATGGCAAGGGCATCAGCTGGATCAACTAAGGGGAGGAACTCCTCAGCACCAGGGACACACGTATCTATAAGTGGGATAGTTACACCAGTGGTGGTTACACCAGTGGTGGTTACACCAGTGGTGGTTATGCCAGTGGTGGCTATGCCAGTGGTGGTTATGCCAGTGGTGGCTATGTCAGGGGTGGATATGCCAGGGGTGGTTATGCCAAGGGTGGTTATGCCAGGGGTGGTTATGTCAGTGGTTATTCCAAGGGTGGTTATGCAAGGGGTGGTCATGCTAGTGGTTATGCCAGTGGTGGTTACACCAGTGGTGGTTATGCCAGTGGTGGTTATGCCAGTGGTGGTTATGCCAGTGGTGGTTATGCCAAGGGTGGTTATGCCAGGGGTGGTCATGCTAGTGGTTATGCCAGTGGTGGTTATGTCAGGGGTGGTTATACCAGGGGTGGTTATGCCAGGGGTGGTTATGCCAGTGGTGGTTATACCAGTGTTGGTAACGCCAAGGGTGGGAGCAGCCTCTTGGAAAAGAAGGTGCTCAGTGCAGAATAGAAATGGGGGCGCTTGATGCATATGCTGCTGCTGCTGCTGCTGCTGCTGCTGCTGCTGTGTCTGCATCTGCATCTGCGTTTGCTGCTGCTGATGCTGCTGCTTCTGCTTCTTCTTCTGCTGCTGCTGCTGCCACTGTGTCTCCAGCTGCGGCTGCGTCTGCCGCTGCGTCTGCCTCTGCTGGTTTTGAGGCGGCTGCTGGAACAGCTGCTGCTGCTGCTGGTGCTGCGGCTGCTGCTGTGCCTGTGTCTGCTGCTGCATCTCCCTCTGCTCATGCTGCGGTTGTTGCTGCTGCCTCTGCTGCTGCTGCTGCTGCTGCTGCTGCTGCTGCTGCTGCTGCTGCTGCTGCTGCTGCTGCGGCTGCTGCTGCTGTCCATCCACCCGGTGATGCCCGTGCTTTTGCAAGCAGATGCACCTATTTATCCGAGTTTGCCCGTCACCGCCTGTGATTGCTGAGGCATCAACAAGCATGGGGCGTGCTTGCTCTGTTTGAGTGTACGTTATGTTGCCCACTGGAACAAATGAAGGCTGGGGAGCGTTCGGCGCTTCAGAAGCTAAGCGGGGAAAGTGTGCAGGATCGAGCAACGGAGGAAATGGGGATGGAGGAGGAGGTGTGGTGTACCGAGAAGGGGGGCAGGAGAATGGACCCTGATTAAAGGGCAGATTCAGAGCGCTGAATGATTGACTATTAAAATCTGATGAAGGGGAAGCTAAATTGCTGGGAACTGAGGGTGGATACCTGGCTACAGGCGACACGCAGACTGTAGCAGGAAGTTGGCTCATAGCTGGAGTGAAGGTCGCAGCAGGAAGGGAGATTGTATCGGGAGTGCGAGAGCAGGGTGTGGCAGGAGCAGAAAGGGAAGTAGGGGCGCAGAATGCAGCAGGAGCTGAAAAGGTAGCAGGAGTGCGCGTTGTAACGAGAGCGGACAATGTAGCAGGAGCACAGGTTGTAGTGCGAGCGGAAAATGCAGCAGGAGCATGGGTTGTAGCGGCAAAAGTAGGAGCGCAGGTTGTTGCGGCAAAAGTAGCAGGAGCGGAGGTTGTAGCGGCAAAGGTAGCAGGAGCGGAGGTTGTAGCGGCAAAGGTAGCAGGAGCGGAGGTTGTAGCGGCAAAAGTAGCAGGAGCGGAGGTTGTAGCGGCAAAGGTAGCAGGAGCGCGGGTTGTAGCGCGAGCAGAAAAAGCAGCAAAATCGCAGGTTGTAGCGGCAAAAGTAGCAGGAGTGCAGGTTGTAGTGCGAGCGGAAAATGTAGGAGGAGCGCAGGTTGTAGTGGGAGAAAAGGATGCAAGAGCACAGTCTGTAGTGGCAGAAAAGGGTGAAGGAACAGATGATGTAGTGGGAAAAATGGATGCATTGGCAGAGACAGGAGTGAAGGATGCAGGAGCAGATGATACAGTGGGAGGAATGGATGCAGGAGCTGATGTGGTGGGAGAGATGGATGCAGAGGCAGAGGCAGAAGTGGGAGTAAAGGATTCCAGAGCAGGCCGTGCTGAATGAGGGGTGGGTAATGCAGCAGGAGGACCCTGTGTTGCTGGAGCGAGAGATGAAGCGGGGTACCAGGTTACTACAGCGGCAGGGCTGGAGGAAGAGACACCAACCAAGCTCGTTCGAGAAACGTCGGGAAGTGGCGGCGGGTGGTTATGTGAGCCCTGGTATACTGTCCTCACCACCACACGCATCTCAGTCCTTGGGATCTCCACACTGTCTGTCAGCTCGTTGTCTTCTAGGCTACTATCCACAGTAGCCGCTGCAGCATCCGCAGTGGGGCTGGACCCTCTTGAAACAGCAGCGCCGTCTCTGAATGTAGCTTTCGAGCTAGCTGCACCGCCCTGATGCCTTGGCCCGGGGATGGTGTTTGAGCGGCGATGCCTCGCCGCTCCAGCCACGCGGTCTTCTATCTTCTTTGCGGTGCAGCCTGTTGTTTCCTTGGATGCGCACACGAAGTACAGCCTGCAAGACTCAGTGAGAAATAACAGCAGCAGCTTATTAAGCACAAGCGCCAAGTCTTGATTGACTTGCAAACCTCTAAAAGGAGGGATTTGGAACAAAATGTCACAGGCCCACAAAATGTTTCACAGGGTAGATCTGACACAAGAAATAAAGCAGTTTTTGAAGCAGTTTTTCCTTTTCATACCCAGTGAGTATGCAAGAAATATCATGGTGGACAATAGGCGAGTCGCCTTTTTAACGACAGCGACATCAGGGTGTTGCATGAGACTTCAGCTTTGTTCGGAAAGGGTGGCAAGATGATTGCAACCTCACCTTTTCATTTGTAGGCCCACAATGCGCTTGTGTGATGTCTTTTTCCATTTGTACTCTTCAGGTGGCAAGTGTTGCACCTGATTCGTTGTGCGATGCGTCTGAAACTGCGTCTGCGGCGCATTTGGCGTGTGTTGCACCATTTGAGTCAAGCCCATCGTCGCTGATGGTAACTCAGCATTAGCATCATGCTGATTCTGAATATAATGATGTGTCTCTGAACTTGATCCTGAAGCTGAAACCCTGAGTGTAGCAGGCTGGGGCCACCGCGGCATCGGACAGATCATATTGCCGTGCTGATGTTGTTGTTGCTGCTGCTGATGATGCTGGTGCTGCGGCTGATGCTGCTGGTTCTGCTGCTGTTGCTCTTGCATCTCGTGTTGGCCGTTTGCACGGACAGTTTCCGGCGGATCATGCTCCACGCTGTCAATGCTTGTAGCTCGCTGATCCGTCGAACTCATGCTCTGATCCGTTTTCTCTGCCGAGGATTCCAAAACAAGAGTCGTGTTGAGTCTGGCTGAAATAGACTCCATTCGAAAGGCCTAGGCCTGCCAGATCCAGATTGTGTGTTGAACGCCACTGAGCAAGTTTCTATCAGAATTGGCGATGATGAAATCGTTGCGGCTGAGACTACTGCTACGAAAATGACTGATGTTAGAGTCGAAATGACTGCTTAGTAAGCACGTGGAGCACTTCATCGGAAACGTTTGCATCGACAAATGTGGCGCCGCCTTGCTTTTGGTCCAGTGACATGTTGTGGAGCGGCAGCAGGGTGTCAGGCATACTATGCCTGGATGTGGTCAGCCAGGCGTATGTAGGAAGGGGAGGGGAGGGGGTTGGGTTGATGGGGTGAGGAGGGTTGTGGGGATTTTTACAGGGGATAACTCTCGGCGCAAATTAGCGATGTCAGTGAAGTCGAGGAGGGCATGCCATGTTTCATAACCATACCTAAAAGATGGCGTTGACAGGAAGTTCCCACAGTAAAAGTTCCCCCAAGTGCCCGAAAAGTGCAGATATTCGGGTCCAGCGTGGCAGTTTTGCAAATGACCATACCATATCCATATGACTGTGGATACAGCCTGTTTCGCGTCTATAGAGCATCTGTTTGCATAACATACACAGGTTGTAGAGCGTCAACACGTTCAGAATGGTCTTGTCCCCCTGTATAAGCACAATGTGAAAAATACGGTTAGTTGAGGTGATGAACTCTACAAACAGCTTTGTCAACGTTTTCTTTGGGTTGAGAAGGGTATTCAGCGATTACGGATTTTTTTTCGCCCTTGAGCCAGTTTCTCACGTGGTTCGGTTTTCCCCCCCAGGTTGCTAGGAATGTTTAATGGCATCAGATCGCAAGAGACAAGTACTGTAGCGACGAGTCGCGCAAGGTGAGAAGGTTGAGATAAAGGGTGTACACAGATAGACGAGTTTGAGCGATAGAACAAACCCAATCAGGTGCAATTTCAAGATAGCTCTGAAAAAATATGCAAGTTGGGGGAAAACGAGGGCGATTGGGGGAAGGGGGTTTCGCGTCACGATAAAATTGTCAACTGTCAATTGAGACGTATGAAACGTTTCTTTATGTCACTGTTCTTCAAGAACAAAATGTTCGAGGCACACAAGAGGTTTGGAAAATCTCATGCTTCGTTGTTTTCTTTCAGCCACGTCTGCTCGACAGCACGTGTTTCTGTTATTAAACCACAGTTCAGGCCAGCCGAGAAGGTCATACAGTACACGAAATCAATTGGCTTTCACGAACCCGAAACATTTGTCTCATTGCGGAAGTTTATGCACTTGGGCAATTGAATGCTTCGAAATCTACTCCAAAAGTGAGGGTATGTCCCAACCCAAGCGTTCGTAGTTGCACAAAACCGGTCCCACCAGTGTAGAAAAAGAATTGACCGTTGAAATGGCAAAGCATTTCATTGAGCCGCATTCGGACGAACACGTGCGTGGGCCATTTCATGTGAGCAAGCAAATGCCATCTCCCCGAAGGGACCTCTCCACTTGATGCCAAATTCAGACCCTGTTTGTTTTCCGGGTGGTTTCTCCAGAGTCCTGCAGCATTTTATGGGCAAATTCGACCTTTACAGGGTAGCTGGGTGACCTGATGTCGGAACTTGGGGTTTCCTTGGTTTCCCGTGCTCTCCCTCTTGTTTGTGGGGCTGCAACCAGTTTGCAGCAAGCGCGAAAAGTGCTTGTCAAGCACAAAAAGTGCTTGTCAAGCACGAAAAGTGCTTGTCAGGCACGTACACTTGAAGCACGCATAAACACATACAGTATTACAAGCAACACTACGTATGGGCAAATTCTCGACAGTCACAACAGCAGCACACATTTTACCCTGACACAACAGCAGCACACATTTTACCCTGACACAACAGCAGCACACATTCTACTCATGTCTCCCATCAACAAACTAAAAGCCAACCCTGGTAACATTTAATTTCACGCCCTTAAAGGGTTTCCAGAAGACACTAAATCCTTCTTGTATGTCAAACCCCTGACGATAAGGGCAACGAATGATGATAATGTGTAAATGCTGAAAAGTCATTCATATTTATTTTTGAAAACTTTATCCACTCACATGAGCCTGATTCTTTGTTGCACTAATCTTTGCGTTCCCCTTCTTGAGTGAGCCAGAAACAGTAGGTTGAATCAAATAAAATGCCTTATGTAAATCAGTAGTTCGGTAGTAATATCTACAATATTATCGTAGTAATATTATAGACAAATGTTACTGGAGCAA